GGTGGACGCATCGATAGCAAGCTGTCGCCCGAGGTCGTCTCGGAGGCCGCCAAGTGAGAGAGAGAGAGAGACTGCGATGGACATGTGTGTGATGTGGTTCTCATGATCAATAGCGAAGCGACTTGATGGATGTTTCATACGACACGTGGTTTCAATATGTATCCTATCTACCTAGCAATAAACCTCTGCTGGAAAACTAGCAACGAAGGCATGGATATCCAGTGGCCGTCGCCGTTCTGTTCCTGTCACTGCATATGTGTTTCAGTGTTCTTCTTCGCCCTTTTCCAACACCTAATGCATGCATCGAAGAAGGCCATCATTAGCTTTAGTCCATCGGCTGCCGAGAGTTTGCGACCAAAGCGCCCATTCATCTGGGAAATCCTTAGCAACGCAATGAAGGAAATGCACACATGCAAACACCAATGGCGATATTTTCCATGGGATAAAAGTACTTTGCTTGAGCAAAATCTCGAGCTGGTTTTCGACGGCCCCCTGGGACACACAATCAGCCTTTCCTGTCCCATATGTCCTACAGACTTCGAGGTGCGGTTTGAGGAAGATGCTCAGGAAAAGACCCTGGTCATTCAGACATGGAAGGATGCCGGTGATAACTATGGTGGGCCTACCCTCCCGGATGCGTGGCTTGCCCGTGAACGGAAAGGGTTCAGGTTAAGCCGCTCTGGAATTTTCAGATGCGGAAATGCCCGCAGCCTATTCGAGAATGGTGTTGAGCTTCCTCAGACGCCTCAGGTGCCTCAGATGCCTCAGATGCCTCAGATGCCTCAGATGCCTCAGACGCCTCAGACGCCGAAACTGTCAGAGCGAATGCTTGAAAGGTTGCGGCACGGAGTAGCCCGGATTGTTCATTTTGCTCGTAGCTCGACAGTGCTGAACACTTGAAAGGTGGCTGTACTATTGCTTTCGCCACCACGGGCTAGAGCTCGTTTGCTCTGCTGAAATTGATCACTACTCTTTAAGAATTTTGTAAGTTTTTGGTGGTGTAAAATGTACTCGTATCTTCTTAATCGGAATGTTGAGAAAGACTCAGCACGTTCAATGACGCGGAAGTTTAGCTCAAGAGCTCTTCTTTAACTTGTGCAAATCCATCCCAATCACTGTCTCAAGATCACGCCCCGGTCTAACGCTGGCTTTCAGATGTCATGCCTAGCATCAGACAAGTCGCCATCCTTCGGACCCAGAATATCCCCCGATGTCGCTTGAGCTTCGCAATTCACTGACAGTGTCCTAGATAACACAAGTGGGTGTGATCCACAGGTTGCAGCAACAGCAAGGTTGGTGAGTGCGGGGAAGATGTGCGTTGTTGATAAGTGAACCAAGGACATGCATGCTGTAAGCATCCCCGCTCAACTGGCATTGTGTTGATCCGCGGTTCAGTCTCCACGCCGAAGGCACTTGAACGGTGCGGATAGAAATCCGATGACCTGTTACCGGATGTGCTCGAAGGAATGTCCCGATGGCGGAGTCATGCTATCCGTATATGGCTTCACATCCAGGCACTTGCGCGGACCCATCTAAGATCGTCGGTCATGATGTGCGGGGTCGTATAGGAGGCATAAAGACCTGAATCGCAACCGCACTTTCTCAACACAAGTTATTCCAGTAGAAAAGACTGTGCTTCCCGTCCCGCCGTCAGCCTAAGACGGTGAGAGATCAACTTGACAACCAAGATGAAGCACACCAATACTCTGCGCGCGTTGCTTGGAGCAGCACAAATCGTCTGGTGTCTGCCCGATTGCAATCATAAGCCTGTTGTTCTGGAAGGCTATGGCAGTTTCTCTGGAACTGATGTTTCACAGACCTTTACTGGTAAAGACCTGCCTGAAACAGTCGATGCGTGGCTCGGCATAGACTACGCGACCCAGCCGACTGGAGACGGTCGCTTTCGCCCCATCACCTGGCCTGAACCATTTGACGGTATCAAATCGGCGGCAGAATACGGACTAGTTTGCCCGCAAGTACCGACAGCGGTCGACCCTCTCGAGCGCCAGGGTGAAGCTTGCCTCAATTTCAACATCTATCGTACTCGAGGTATACCTCTGGATGAGAAACTTCCCGTTCTTCTGTGGATTCATGGAGGAGCCTTCGTGCGACGCAGCTATGCAAGCTTCGATGCTGCCTCATTTGTGGCCAACTCCCCCGAACCGATGGTAGTTATCACCTTTAACTACCGACTTGGTGCGTTGGGCTTTCTACCGTCGCCTCTTTTCGAAGACGAAGGCATCCTTAATCTCGCCATTCGAGACCAGCGCCATTTTCTTGAGTTTGCGCAAAAGCATGTGAGCTCATTCGGCGGACACCCAGACGCTGTGACAATTGGAGGCCTATCGGCCGGAGCTCACTCGGTCGCAATACATACTTTTCATAACTACGGCGAAGACGAGGGCAAGCCACTCTTCGCAAGGGCCTGGTTGCAATCCGGGTCTGTTACAGCGAGAGCATTCCCAAACGCTTCTTACCCCCTATACCAGCGACAATTCAACGATTACGTGGATTTGGTTGGGTGTGGCGAAGCTGTTAAGGACAGCAATGCTGCTGCCATGGCATGCCTAAGAAGCGCCGACATCGACTCTACACGGAATGCGAGTAATACCGTCTTCCAAAAGTACAATCCGGCCATTACCTGGCCATTCCAACCTGTCACCGACGGTCCCCTCTTCGAAAAGGCTGGTTCCCAATCTGGGTACGACGAAACGTTCTTCAAGGTTCCTGTCTTAACTACAACAACCACCGATGAAGCCAAAAACTACATCCCTGGGACTCTGGAAACCAATGATGAGTTCATCAATTTTCTTCATAATATTTCGCCCAGCCTCAATAGCACCGATATTGCTCTACTTGAGGCTCTTTACCCCGATCCGGCGACAAACTCCGATTCACCCTATGCCGGCTCGCCGAATAGTACACAGTACAACCGTCTCTCGGCTGCATGGAGCGACTACGCCTACATCTGTCCCAGCCAGGAAACAGCTTATCGCATGTCGAATGCCGGCTTGCCAGCCTGGAAGCTTCGTTGGAACGCTAACAATAACTTTCCCGCATGGCAAGGTATCCCTCATGCAGCGGATATGCAATATTCATGGGCCGAACCCACGACGCAGTATCCCAATATCGCCCAGATATACCACAGCTACCTGGCCAGTTTTGTGCTGACTGGTGATCCCAATAAGCTTCGGAAGCAGGGTAGCACTGAGTGGCCTGCTTACACACCTGCGGGCTATGGAGCCGAGGCAGAGGCACCATTGCAGCTAGTAGTCGGATCTGACGGGCCGGAGGTGGAGAAGGATGATATTAGGAGGGGAACAGTGCTTGTTCTGGAGGGACCCTGAGCGAGCTCACCGTCTGAATAAGTAGGGAGAGATGTTTGCATAATAGTACTAATCCATCAATGAGTTAGTGTTAGGTTTTTATTTCACGATTAGATGCGTCATGCTATCATGAAATGGCTGAGCCAGTCTATCCACCTAAGCGAAATCACTATTTAGTTAAGTGAGGATAAATATCTGCATAATAGTACTAAGTCATCGATGAATTACTGTTGGGTTTTTATTTCACGATGAGATGCGTCATGCTATCATGAAATGGTTGGTCCAGTCTATGCACCTGAGCTGGGGTTGGATGCAAGATGAATTTTCATAATCTTTGAACTAGGAATATAGCTCATGAAACGAACTCTCCCGTATCCATCAGCATCTTAAACTTCCCGCCTTCCCGGCTGCTCAGTTCGCTAGGCTGCCCGCTTTCGCATACACGCCCTTCCTCCATCACAAGCACCTGATCACAAGTCATAGCCAGATCAAGTCGGTGTGCGATCATGATAACGGTATACCCGGCAAATTCTTGTTGAATGATTCGCAACATCTTTTCGTCGGTTTGAGAGTCGACGCTGGAAGATACCTCGTCAAGGATTAGGAGTCCTCCGCAGGCGCCTGAGCGTTGGCGGATTCGCAGCCTGACTACTGCTCTCGCCAGACTGAACAATTGTTTGTGTCCTTGGCTAAGTGAGCCGTGTGAGAATGGGAGCTCCCATGTTTCCGAAGTCGGGTCTGAGGAGCCTTCATCTTTCATGAGAAATTCGAGCCCGAGCAACTTCAAAGATGCCAGGATATCATGCTCTGGAGCCTCACCAAAGGGATCCAGGTTGCTGCGCAAGGTTGAGCAAGAGCATGGTGGCAGGAATACCGGGTCCTGGGAGACGGCGATGACGCGACGACGCAAGACGTCCCGATCAACCGTCTTCAAAGAGATACCATCGATGGTAATCAACCCCAAACTGTCGTTAGAATGTATTGGCTCCAGAAGTCTGAGCAAAAGCAATGAAAGGGATGACTTCCCGCTTTGAAAAGATCAGCTCCGAATCATGATATTTTCGCTGGAGCACTACTAACCTTCCCGTCCTTCCCACAATTGCTGTGCGCTCACCCGCGGCAAAAGTGAGATTAAGATCGCGAAGGGCTATTTCATTTGTACCCAGTGATATTTCTCCGCTGGAACGTGTGTTAGATGAAATACGTGGAAAATCCTGACCATCAGCTGACCTGTAAGACGCCGTCACGTCCCTGATTTCGATTTGACCTCTCTCAGGCCATGGTGCATCCGGCTCCACATATTCATCCGGCTGAGACTCTATCTCAGTAGACGAGCTGAATGTTTTCAACCTAGCGACCGCTCCTATGCTTGTTTCGAGAGTGGTGTATGATTGCACAATCGTTGCTAGCATGTCGCCAAAGGCCATGAGCGTTAAAAGGGTAGCTCCGGTGAAGCCGGAATCCGTACGCAACTGTGTGGCTAGTGTCACAACGATGACTGCGAGAAGCATGACAATCATCCGCAGGACGAGCTGAAGCCAGCGCTGAATCATAGCCAAAAGGTATGATGGCCTTTGGCTCATGTCTAGCAGCCGGCTACTGGTAGCCATTGCAACATCAATCAAACCAAGAGCCCGAAGGGTGATGAGCCCTGAGAGTGTCTCGATGAAATGTGCGCTGCATCGTGGTTAGCTATCCTCGTCCGAGAAGATTGAACTTGAACTTACTACAGCGGAGCTTGCTTTCCAAGTCCAGCAGTCGTACTTGTCGTGATGTCGAAGGTAAAAGAGCTGAATGCAGTAGACTATGCCTATTAAACTGGATAGGCTACGGCGAGCCACGGCGACCGCGATCGCAATGACAGCAGCCATACCTAGTGATGCAAAAAGAGATAAGGCGAAGTTAAGAAGCGACAAAGGCAGCTCACTATCGATGAGAGTCAAATCCTGAGCGAACAGGTTGGTAATAGTCCCGGTGTCAACGACACTTGAAGAATCTTAAGGGGGCGCAGATGACAGTGCGCAGTGCCCTCCTGTGCAGCAACGAGCCTGTCTGTGAGATCATGGACTGAGTACACAGAAGGACAACTGCCACAAGGAAAAGCAGACAAGTCGTTTGTAGGAATGCATAAATTCCAATGTAAAAAGCCTTAGGTTGCGAAGGAATCTGGCGAACCGTGTCATCGGCCCAGTACTTCAACCAAATTGTTGGAAAATTGGAAGTGAAGCCGTAACAGCAACAAGAAAACACAAACAAAACAACAAGCCAGCAAGCCATGCTGGAAAAGTAATGTCGATACACTGAAAAGTCTCCCATCTGTCGCGACGCGTCCTGTTGACGCGTTGTGGCGGGCCTGTCAGCTTCTGTCGAATGATTTGATTCTGATGTGTTGTCGGTAGCTTCTTTCGTTTCTCCGAGAATGGATGAGACAGGTCCATCATATCCTCTCAATCTCTGAAAGTCACTTCTGAAAACGGCCTCCGTGACACTGATACGCTCTGAAATCAGGCCGCTCGCATTGATGGTAAGCACCTTGTCGGCAAAGGGCAGGTATCGCTCATCGTGGGTGCAGAAGATTACAGTAGCCTTCCGTTGGCGAAGGAGGCCTCCTGGACCGAGGGTCCTTTGGAAAACCAGAGCTGAGGTGGACACATCTAGGCCGCTCAAAACATCATCTAGTAAATATAATTCTGCCTTTGAATAGAGAGCTCGAGCCAGAGCTAGGCGTTGCTTTTGGCCGCCACTCAGAGAAATGGCGCCATCGCCGACCTTTGTGTGGTCGCCTTGTGAGAACTTGCTCAAGTCAGGCACAAGAGCGGTGGCATGTAAGGCTTGTTGGTATCGTGTTTCATCGGGCTGAGAGTTGCCGACAATGTTGGCTCGGATTGTGTCGTTCAGCAAGAAAGGTGTTTGATCGCAGAATCCTATTATACGAGAATTCACTCCGAATGCAATTTCACCCGAACAGAAAGTTGTCTCACTGAGCAGAGCTTTGAGCAGAGTTGATTTTCCTGATGCAACAGGACCAACAATGACGATGAGTGACGACGCCGGTACAGCAAAGTTGACATGTCTTAAAATATTCTCTCGTTGACTCCATCCGAAGTGTCCTTCCTTCACCTCAAGCGCTAGAGTCGTTTGAGCCGCGCCTGTCTTCTCAGCAGCTGGCGGGATGGGTTGTAGGGTCGTGCGGCTGTCCATACGGCTATCTAGCTTCACATAAGCATTGATGCGGCCCAGGCAAGCAATGGCTGACATCAATGCCGGAATATTCTGGAACAAACTGACCAGAGGGGCAGCCAAAAGCGTTATGAAAGCCATAGCTGGGAAGATGCGTGTGACCTCTAGCGTGCGAGATGTGGCTGCAAAAGCCATGAGCGGGCCAATCGTCATGGGCGTGAATGAGAGGGTGACTGCAATGACGAGCATGAGGCGCCACTTTCCTCCGATTTTCAGCTCGCGGTGGCGAAGCGCTTGAATCAAATTCTCCACGGCAACTGTCATACCCGAGATCCGTAGCGGCTTCATGCTTGATATCGTGACGGCTGTGGCAGTGACACGCTCTTCGATAGCCTGCATCCAAGCAACCTGACGGCGGCCGGTGGCTGAAGCTACCCCTGATGAAGCGAGGATACAGACAATAACAACCGCGATGGGTGCCACAAAGGCAACACCAATTCTTTGCTCCAACAGCCAGCAGGCCAAGGCCAGCTCAACGGCGTTGGCCCAGTACTCATGAATTGGCAGGAGCCCCATCTTGACACGTTCGACATCGCTATTCATCAGCGTGAGTGCCGTGGAATTGGCGGCAACGTCGGCGGGCAGTGAAACTGTCTTGTCATAAATGGCGGTGAAAAGAATGCCGCGTACCATGCAGGCAAATCTTTCTTGCCAGTAGAAGTACAAAGCGTTTGAGATCGCGATGCCACCATAAATAATGATAGTGGCAGCGATGAGGCCATAACCATGGTTGGCGTCGCCCGGAGATTGAAGGTATTGAAGGACAGTCTCCATTAGGAAAGGCTGACAAAAGGTGAACCCAATGACAGCCAGCCTGGGTACCACGGGTAGAAGTAAAGGCATAGATAAAGCGGAGAACAATTGCCGGTTGAGCGACGCGGGCTTGCCCGTCGAAAGGTTTCCCAACCGTTGTTTCTCAATCTTTGCCTGCAGGTTGGAGGCTGACATGCTTCCATCAAGAGCATACAAATCGTCCATCGTAAGAATGGACTTGAAACCGGAGAGAAATAAATCAACAAGCCATGAGTAGGTTGACAAGCTCCAGATGCCGCTCGCTTCTTCAGGGCTATGATGAGCTTTCCACTCGCGAGAATGGGTTTTCTGTTGGGCTTCTATTATGAGGATGAAGCCCTTGAGCACCGCCAGGACAACAGCCAACCTGGCGACCGCCACATGATGACCACCATGATCCTCGGCTATAAGCCAGAGAGTGCGGGCCCGCACTATGTCGACCAGAAGTGTCACTGGAATGAAACAACCCAGCAACAAAGAAGGCCTGGCTGTCTTTTTGTGCTCTATACATGACGTTAACAGAATCGCGAACGATGCAACGAGTCTCAAAGCCTCAGAAGCAACTGACGGCTCAACGAAGTCTGATATATGTTGAGCTGTGAGAACCAACTGCGATAGCTGAAGAACGATGAAGACCGAAATGACACTCTGCGATCCTTGTCAGCGTGCTTCGTCTTCCGTGCAAGTTTAACTCACAAACTTTGCCCATAAGAACGTTGAAGCTTCGGCTAGGTTTGGCTGTTTGAGCAACCAATAACATCGCCCAACCCCGAGCATGAGGAAGATACTCGAGGGCAATATCTCGAATACTACTTCCTCAAAATATAGGGTGAAATCGAACCCATCCCGGCAGCCTCGAACGACGGGCCCAAAAGTGTCTTCGTTTTGGCATGTCATGATAGATTGTGACCAAGACTACGACTCTAGACGTGGACTCGTGAGTGAAATGAGGGTCCAAGTGAGAACTTTACGGTTCAACAATTGGCTAGTGTTGGCCTTGAATAAAATTTGTGGTATGTCATCCTCGCCGGGATAGCATGAGCAAAGATAAGGGGCTATATTAATCGGGATGTCAAGGAACTTTGTAAAATCGCGGCCGACCGTTTTGGACCTAGACTACGACGAAGGCGATGGCCAGTCGTATTTTGGGTTAGGTGGTGGGTGACAACACGCCAGGCTGGCAAGCTGACGTTGGCGTCGGCAACAAGCCAGCTTGGCTTTCGAAAGTGGAACATTGCCGCATAGGTTTATGAAGAATAAGCACTCAGGTAGCAGTCGGGCAGTCCGGGTGGATCAAGTCAATCCTTTGCTCTCCAACTTGCCTTAATCAGGCATGTGAAGTGGTTAGGCCGGACTGTGCCTCCTCCTGGCACGTACTGACATGGCCTTGCTGGTTGAGAGACTGATAACTCACTTCGGTAGCCCTACAGGCGCGACACCCGACGCAAAGCTATCAGAACAACCGATTCTCGAACCCCATCATGGGGCTGAATAGCGTCATCTACTATGCAGAGTCAAAGACGCACAACGTGCCAGACAAGCTAAGCGCCAGGAGTCGACTCCTTGAGATTTTTGTGCCTGATGCAGCAGCTGTGATTGATCACCTTCCAAAAACAGCGAATGATTTCAGCGCTATCATTTAAGCGTAAATCCCCACAAGACAATCCAGACCAGTCTCCCGTCATCGTCACTTCTGTTCACCTCAGCGTTTGACGTCGTTTCACTTCCCTTTCAGTGCATGACGGCCTCGCGGGGGCAGCCAGAACGTTTGAGGTGGGATTCAGGCAATTATGCTTGGCTTAAAAACATGGTGCTAACTTGCCGCACCATTCGCCGACCAAGCATTTATAATTGTCAGAGAACGCGCATCCCAGGCAGGGGAATTCAGTCTCTGATATCATTTAATTGTACTCACACATCATACTAATCTTACATGACAGCGCGGGGGGGTTGGGGGGGTTGGGGGGCGGGGGGCGTTGGTTGTCAACCCCATGCATCCACGACCCTCATCCCATGTGCATTGACAGGATCTTGGATGACGTGTACGCACAGGCAACTGGACGGCCCAATGAAGCAGGTCCGAACTTTATACATTCGCATATTTGCCATTTACGTTCATGTAAAGGTCCGAAAGCATACACCCGTCTTTGACTTAGGTCCAACATTGCGATCACTCGATCCAGGGTCGTATTTGCTGCTCAATGCCATTGCTCAGTGAGATGAACTATTCCCTTTTTCTGACGTGACAGTCCTTAGCTAAGTCTGTGTTTCGCATATTGTCTCCCCGTGCCCGGTTCATCAGCCCGCATCATGAGACGTATGATGGGACCACATTAAATGCCAATCAAACGCAATCGATGTTATGCCGCTATCGCATAATTACAGGCCTCTGATCCTGCCGGCTGGGCATCGCTCAACCCGCTCGTCTACCTGAACAGATCTCCTTTGTGGCCGAACCTTGATTTGCCACCACCCAAAGTCCCAACCAGGATAATGTCAGCGCCGCTACGGCCCGCTGAAGAATACAGGGATGAAATCCCGTGTACCCCTCCAGGCCCGAAATCAAGCACTGTCTTCGTCGACGCAGAAGAGTGGGGAAACGCACTGGCTAATTCCCAGTCTACACGCTTACTGACCACCGACATGATCAGAGTATCAAGAAGATCCATCTCATCGTCCGTGTTTGAGAGTCGACAGATCTCTCGTCCGTCCTCGGAGCCGAAAACAGGAACCGCCATAGCGCTTGGTCGCAGCAGTATGCCCTTGAGATCATCCTGAATGAAAGGGACGGCGTCCTCCAACCAAACTGAATGAAAGGGCACGCTGACTTCGAGGAATCGGCTCCCGACAGCTTTTTCTTTAGAGTCTTCCTCTTCGCAGTTTCCATGAGTTTCAAGTCGCTTTGCTTTCCGAATCTGTAAGGCCAATCCGTATAGATACTTTGGTGGGCCCGAGATAACGAATTGCCGTGGTCCGTTGGTCATGTTGATGCTCAGAATACGGGAGCTCTGTTTGAGATATCGATTGGCGGCATCAACATATCCCTGCAGAGTCTCCCTCGCAAGACCCCTGACGCTGAGCATGGGCGAAGGTGTACCTTCACTATGGTCTATACAGTCCTGCGACATGGCGTGCGAAATTGCGCTGTTGCTTGACGAAGTGTTCCACACCTGCTGAGTGCGGACGCCGATCCAGAAAAGCATCGTGATAGTGGTGCGGGTGATCTCCCGCCATGAAGACCAGTCTTTACCGGTGGCCACAACGGCGGCAGTGATAATGCCCTGCGAGTGCCCCGTTGTTCCTGCAATTTGCTTGCAGAATTCGCCTGGGGTGAGTCCCAAGATCTTGCAAGTCACCTCATAGTGTGCGAGCTGAATGAGACCGACCAGAGGCGCGCTAAATGGTGCAGAGGACAAATATCCAGGGCCTGGAATATTGGCAGAATCCTGCAGCCATGCGAGAATGTTGAAGCTCTCCGAGAAGATTTCACGCACGTCGCGACTAGTGTTTGAGAGCTTGTTAAGTAGAGCCGCAGAGTCATTGATGAGATCTTCGACGAGGGGGTTGTACGCGGCTGTGATCTCGGCAAGCTCTTGAACATAGTTGGTCCTCAATCCTTGACCCCCGAAGATGGTGTACAACGGTTTCGATGAAGCATTGAGAGACTTAGTTAATGTGCCAAAAAGTCCGTTCTTTGGAGGTCTGGGGATGACGTTGGATGTATGAAGCGCGTCATAATAGGACCGTAGAAGTTTGGACTTTCGAGAGTCCTTGATTGGCGACGACAGGACAAAGGTGTGGATGTCTTTCCCTGATAACACATTTTGCTCAGCATAGCCTATCAGAAACTTCAGCAGCTCCCGAGCCGCCTCGATGTCCCCATATTCGGACTTTTGGAGCTTTTCGACAACTGGGTCGATGTAACCCAAGATCGTTTCAAGTGATGGTTGTTGATCTTTGTCCTGGTCCTCTGAAGTCGGAGTGCGTGGAGGAGTTGGCTCAATATATGAGGCGGCTCCGTCAACGTCTTTGACTTTTCTTTGGTGCAGAAAGAAGGGCTCTTTATCGTTTGACAAGCTCATAAGAGCCAAGAGCTGTGTCGAAGTGAGCTTTTGCATCGGAATAGGCATTCTAACCTCGGGATGAAGCTGATTTCCGATGCCGGCCATGATTTTGATCAACGTAGATCAACTCCAGGTGTGCAAAGTATTCAGTGTTCAAGGATTCAGGTTTCCGTTGCCGGTTGCATGTCTAGACTGCTGTGTAGCTGATAATTTCGCACACTGTCGAGTTTATGTTTAAAATCTGAACTAACAAATCATACATCGATTATGCATACTCCACGCCATTCTGGAGAACCATGGTCAAAATATTTCAATTGCAGCATGGCAACCCGACCCATAATTCAAGGGTGACGAAGCGGCCGTTCCTTAGCATTCGGATGTAGTTTTCGTCACGTTGGATCTCACAATATTACATCCTCATTCTTTTGACAAAAGTGCCACTCGGTATCGTTGACCTGCCTTAAAAGTATTAGACTGGAATGAGAAGACACTGGCAGACCGGACGACGTCGAAGAATGAACTGGAAAACAGGGTTTGGGATCCTTCAGCGTGTTGTTGTCAGGGACTCTTTGATCTCAATGGAAGAACTGGTTAGGCGGCTATCGTTTCTCCGAGCTTCGCTGACGCGCGGGTACTCAAGGCCTTTCGTCTGGCCAAGGAAGAAAGGAAGGTGGTGGTGGAAGTGGTGGAGGCGGGGGTGGGGGCTGGCTAACCCCTGCATGAGCAACAGTTACATGCATGAAAGATGTGGCGAGAATCCAGGTCTCTGATCCCAGCATCTATTCTCTGGTCTATGACCTTCCAAAAGTGAGCTTGCCGGTCTTGCCAAGACATTAGGTTTCACAAAATAAGCCCTGCGGCGCAATCCTTTGAATCCTTTCAAACATCGGCTCTGCGAAACTGCAAGATCAGTGCCGCCGCTGAAGGATGCTGATATCAGATGATTCGGATAGGGCAGGTGATCCTAGTCCGTGGAGCTTCGGATGCTGCTTAAGAAACCTTACCTTTACACAGATTCTTGCGAGTGTGTCTGTTCCAAGACTGGAAGGTGTTCTGACAGTATGGCGTACCATGCATGTGTGGAGCATGGCAGAAAAGGAAGGAGCTGAGACGAGGTCCATCCATGCTCGATGCATGGGCTTTTTGACACCAAAGTTACCCTTTCAGTGGACTACCGAGGCGCGGAGCATCATGCCAACGAGAAAATAGTTTGAGAAGCGTGTTTCTCGAAGGCTCCTGTGTATCAAGGCGTCTCAAGATTCTTCACATGAGGAAGACGTCTTTGTCTCGATTGCATTGGCCTCTTGTCCAGCAAACAATCTACATTTTATTCTTCATTGTCCTACACAGTCATATTCATCCTTGTCTTTACCATCCTTGAGAGGCATTCCAGCACTAGGGCTTTTCGTCGCCATGTCAATGCTAGATATTCACACTGGCGAGGTTGAGCGCTGGGTGTTGCAATGTGTCCCGAGAACGTGGCATGTGGTCGCAGACGTCCTCCCACAGGGAGCAGATCCCAAACGCAATAAGTTGGCAGTAATCATTGTCCGGACGCAATGCAAATCTGGTGAAAGCAAAGAGCCAGATATGCACACCGACACTGCAGTGCGCCAGCTTGTTCTTCATGAGACCATTCGAAACAAGCTCACTGAGCATGCGATCTTCGGCGAACACTTGGCTTCAGCGACTTATTTTGAAGTCCTCCAATATTCAACCACCTCTTTGGCGCAAATGGACCGTGAGACACTCCTGAACACGGCTTGCTCACTTCTCAACTCATCAAACGTCAACGGCATAGAGCTGAAGAAAGAACAAGACTATTCAATTGGAGCTAAGGTAGACCTTCTTCAAATGTGGGCTCGGATCCTTCAGGTGTCAGAAAGTACCATCTGCCCGCAAGACAATTTCTTTTCTCTCGGGGGCGATTCTCTCGCTGCCAAGGAGCTCACCCACTCGGCATTCAAAGCCGGCTTTGAGCTACCCGTTGAAAATGTCTTCCTCTACCCCACTCTCGCTCGTATGGCACACCTACCATGTTCTCCGGTGCAAGCCTCACCCGCTGAAGATGCTGGCCCGTTTTCGTTGATATCGAACGAGACGGAGCTTGAGCAATGCATCTCACATGTAGCGACGGTCTGTGGCGTACGGATGCAGCAGGTTGAAGACGTTTACCCCTGTACTCCCTTGCAGGAGGGCCTGCTTGCATTGACGTCTAAGAGCCAAGGTGATTATGTTCTGCAGAATATCATGAAACTAGCGCCATCGGCCGACCTTCATCGAATCGAGACAGCGTGGATTCAGACCACCAAGGCCATTTCGGTGTTGCGAACTCGCATCGTTGAGCATGACACCTTGGGTCTGCTACAGGTTGTTCTGGACGCAGGGATTTCATGGTCATATGGCCATGACCTTGACATTTATGTCAACGAAGACCGCGCCAAGTCCATGGGTCTAGGGGAGTCCTTAACGAGATATGCCATCATCCGCGACGATAAACAGGCCTCTACGTTGCTAGTCTGGACTATTCACCATGCCTTGTACGACCGGGTTGCCCTTCCTAGGATTCAACAAACCTTCCACCACTTTTACCACGGCCTCCAAGCCGACTCCACCCCCCCATTTCGAAGTTATGTCAGCCATCTCATGCACAAGAGCCAAGCTTCCTCTATGGCATTCTGGGAGTGGGCGACTCTGGATTTCGACTCTGAGATGTTTCCCAGTGTGCCAACAGGGGTGTCGTCAATTAGACCTGATACTTCAGTGCAACGTCGGATCATGTTATCAAAAAACAACAACAAATCTTCCACAAGCACTGTGACAAATGCGACATTGATACGCGCGGCATGGGCGCTCGTTGTGCACTACAATACAGGCACTGAAGATGTTGTGTTTGGTGCCACATTATCCGGTCGCAATGCCCCTATTCCTGGAATGGACGACATCGTGGGACCCACCATCACGACAGTTCCTGTACGCGTGCGCATACCACCACGAGACATTGAAGGGCTAGTAACTGTCACTGAGTTTCTGGAGGCCATTCAGGAACAGGCAGGCGACATGATGCCCTTTGAGCATGTAGGGCTGCAACACATCGCGCGTATCAACCAGAACGCGAATTTGGCTTGTAATTTCCAAACTCTTCTGATTACTCAGAATGCTGCTACAGGCTCTCTCCCGGATTGCAGCGACGACATCAATGACATCGGAGTTTGGCAGGATCGACCAAATCTTGGCGAAACGGCGACTTACCCACTTGCAATCGTCTGCACCCTTCACAATGAAAATGTAGATATTGTCGCGAGCTCCGACTCAAGAGTACTCGAAGAATGGAGAGTCGAGGGCCTGTTGTTTCAACTAGCTCATGTTCTCCAGCAACTGATCGATTCTTCGCCGGTCACAAAACTGAATTCGATTCAAAGGATCATGACATCTGATCTCGACACTATATGGGGGTGGAATAGCAACGTGCCACCGGCGATCGAGAGAACACTACATGAAGTCGTCGCGGAACAAGCAAAGCGTCTTCCGAATGCGACAGCCCTGGATGCGTGGGATGGCAAAATGACATACGCTGAGCTTGAAGCAGTATCGACCCGTTTTGCAATTCACCTTGTAAAGCAGGGAGTTCGCGAAGGTGTGCTGGTACCCCTATTCTTTGAAAAGTCACTTTGGGCCCTTGTCGCCATGATATCTGTGCTCAAGGCAGGAGGAGCCTTTGTCCCCCTTGATCCAATGCATCCCAAAGATCACATAGACGACATCCTTGAGCAAATTGGAGCCGATATCATCTTGACCTCCGCGCAACACTCTAACATCGCCAGGGGTCCCGGTAGGCGTACGATGACAATCGTGCTTGAGACCTTCGAGACTCTGAACGACGTTGAAGAGGAGACAACGGGAGCATTGCCAATTGTGAATCCTCGAAGCATTGCCTACGCCATCTTTACATCTGGCAGCACAGGCACCCCAAAAGGTGTACTCGTGCCGCACCAGTCCATTGTTACCAGCACAATTCACCACGGACGACCCTTGCAATTCAACCAAGAATCCAGAGTCCTACAGCTCGCAGCTTATGTTTTCGATGCGTCCCTCATCGAACTCTTCACAACCCTAGTATTTGGCGGCACCGTCTGCACGATATCAGATGCTATGATACGCAACGATTTGACTGGGAGCATTCGCGTGATGGACATTAACACACTTGTCACCACCCCGTCTCTTGCCAGACTTATTCAGCCTGATGAAGCAGCCTGCATCACAAAAGTTTTACTTGGTGGAGAGTCACCTCTCCAAGAAGATTTTGATCGATGGCGGCATACCACCATGATAAAGGGGTACGGTCCGACAGAGTGTTCTGTTATGTGTACTGTCGGCCACGTGGACGAGGCCCAAAGCCTGCATACCCGGATACACAACATTGGGAAAGCAACGGGATCGGCGAGTTGGATTGTCGATCCGAACAACCATAACATACTTCTCCCTATAGGCGCTATCGGAGAGCTGCTTATCGAGGGCCCAATAGTAGCTTCAGGGTATCTTCATGACGTGGCCAGGACTACACAGTCATTCATCGAATCCCCCCCTTGGCTACTTCAAGGCTATGCTGGCTCGCCTGGCCGTCGCAGCAGAATCTACAAAACGGGCGATTTGGTGCAATATTCCACGGATGGCACCTTGCTATTTGTTAGTCGCAAGGATACGCAAGTTAAGATCAGGGGACAGCGCCTTGAGCTTTCAGGAGTTGAGCACCACATATCGCAATCCCTTACACCTCGGCGCGACACGCTGTTGTCGAGGTCCTTGATACTAAAGGGAAGGATAGAAGCTCGGCTCTCGCTGTTTTTATGGTCATCACTCCTGAGCTCTTACATGATCATGACGCCACTAAGCCCCATCAAGTTTCCGCTGGCTTGCAACTGAAACCGTTTTTGCCATCCCCCGCCTTGGAGAACGAGTTGTCTCGAAGACTGTCCACATATATGATTCCTACCCATTGGTTTACCATCAGCCATTTGCCATTGAATGGTTCTGGGAAGACAGATCGGAAACTACTCAGAGCTGCGGGCTCATCCTTCATCGGATCCCGGTCATCCCATGGGGATATGGACGGTGGTTCAACAGACCAGGAGAAACTTGCCCCAAGGACACATATGGAGCTGAAACTGGTCAAGCTCTGGGCGCAAGTCCTCGATCTTGACGACTCTCAGATAGGCAAGCAAGACAACTTCTTCCGGATGGGGGGCCACTCGATCCTGGCGATGAAGCTCGTGGGTGCCGCAAGAAAGGCTGGTCTGAAGCTCACAGTCGCCCTTATCTTCCAATACCCAAGACTGGCCAATCTCGCCACAGTAGCGGAGACCATTGGGGAAGACGATACCGAGCATAAACCCACCGTCGTTCCACCTTTCTCGCTCTTACCTGACATAATCGACCCCTTCCTACTTCGAGAACAGGTTGGCGATATTTGCGGTGTCGGCAGCGATTCTGTTGTCGATGTCTACCCTTGCACCCCGCTTCAAGAGGGCATGCTGGCACTTAGTGTCGTTCAGACAGGCAACTACGTTCTGCAAAGCGTGTTGGAAATATCGTCGGCGGTGGGCGAACGTCGTATTCGCAACGCTTGGGAGAAGACAGTGGATGCGTTGCCAATTTTACGAACCCGCATCGCACAGCATTCGACACTCGGGCTGATCCAAGTCGTCCTTGACGAAGGTGTCATGTGGCAAGTTGGAGATGATCTGGAAGAGTATCTCAGGATGGACAAAGAAACTGTCATGAATCTCGGAGGGCCTCTCGGAAGGTATGGAATTGTTACTGACCGTAGAACAGGCACGACCTTTTTCGCGGTAACGATACATCATGCACTGTACGATGGAGTATCATGGCAGCTTATTCGCGAGCACTTTGCAAACGCATATAATGACCAGGCTATTAGCGGTGTTGACTTCAAACATGCCGTCAAAACAATGCTCGACATGGACGGCTCTACTGCCGGCGACTACTGGCAACAATACTTTTCTGGCTTCAGCGGAGCGACGTTCCCCTCAATACAACCAGGTGTCAAGGATGTCGCAGCTGATACCACCATTCACAGCAATTCCTTTGTGCTTCCCAGCGACAGAGGCTTCAAGTCCAGCGTGACACTTGCATGTTTGGTGCGAGCCGCTTGGGCTTTAGTTGTCAACCAATACACTGGAGATGACGACATTGTTTTCGGTTGTCTGTTGTCCGGTCGCAATATGGCCGTACCCGACGCCGAAAAGATCGTTGGCCCTACGATAGCAACCGTTCCGTTTCGTGTGAGAGTTCCGTCAAGCGATCTGGCCCCAACAGTCACAACCTTCCTCCAACAAGTACAGGCCATGGCAACCGTAATGATTCCGTTCGAGCAAACAGGCCTACAACACATCGCCAAATTCAGTGTCGAATCGCAGCAAGCCTGCAATTTCCAGACACTACTGATTGTCAATACGATCAGCCCCGAGACTGAACAGAGCGACAGAAGTCTTGGAGATTGGCTACCAATGTTCAAGACGCGGGAATTCACTACATACGCAATCACAATTCAATGCGACCTGTCTGCAACAGGTGGCATACATTTGGAATGTTCTTTCGATTCTAGGAATATGGAGCGGTGGATGATGCAAAGGATGTTGGACCATACCAGCTTCATCATTCATCAGCTCGCATCAGCTTCTGACGGCCAAGAGCTTCTTGGGCCGGAAAGCCTTATGCCTTTGGACCACAAGCAAATATGGCGATGGAACGAGATTCTCCCTCCCAGAGTTGACGAGTGCGTTCATGAAATCATTCAGCGTCAGATTGAAAGTAACCGCATGAGGCCGGCAGTACACTCTTGGGATGGAAACTTGACCTACCAAGAGCTGGACGACGCCTCGAGACGCCTCGCCCACCGTCTCGTGGCCTCTGGAGTCATTGAGGGTTCGCTTGTCCTTCTTTGCTTCGAAAAGTCAATGTGGACGATTGTTGCCAAACTAGCTGTACTTCGAGCCGGTGGTGCTTTCGTGCTGATTGAGCCATCGCTCCCGGGACACCGGCTGCAAAGCATCATTCGTCAGACAAGGTCATTCCTAGCCCTTGCATCTGCCAACACGACGTCTCTCATATCATCCTTTGTCCAAGAAACAATCGTTCTTGACGACTCGTTGAGAGATCCAATCACGGAGCCTTTGAAATGCATACTGCCGAAAGTATCTCCATCATCAACTGTTTACGTCCCCTTCACATCGGGGACGACAGGCGAGCCCAAAGGAAGCATCATCCCGCATAGCTCATACGCATCAACTCTCCGCTATCAAGCACACAGGCTAACCTGCCCTGATGCTCGCGTTTTCGACTTTTGTCCATATTCCTTTGATGCATGCATCATGAACAGCTTGATGACGCTGTCTGTCGGTGGGTGCATCTGTATTGCTTCAGGAATCTGACAGGAAGGACAACTTGACCGGGCGTTATTGCAGAGATGGAGGGTAATTGCATGCATTTACTCCTTCGGTTGCTCGTCTGGTGGACTTCAACAAGCTTCCGTTGTTCAAGTCTTTGACACTCGGAGGCGAAGCCCTTCAAGCGATCGATATTGATCGAGTTCCACAGCACATCCGCGTCGTCAACAGCTACGGTCCCTCCGAGTGTACACCGACGAGTACAATCAATGACAATCAAGAGCTGAGAGACGAAATAACGCGTATTGGGACAGGTGCCGGTACTTGCACATGGGTGGTTGATCCCAATAACCATCACCGTCTTGTGCCGGTCGGTGGAATTGGCGAGCTGCTCGTCGAGGGTCCCACGGTTGGCAAGGGGTACCTGGGCAACCCAGAAAAGACAGCTGCCTCTTTCATTGACGCGCCGGCCTGGCTACGACGCGGTTGCGGCCGAGCGATTCCTGGTCGAGCCAGTAAACTTTATAAGACAGGGGACCTTGTTCGTTACAGTGAGAGCGGGGTGCTGACCTACATCGGCCGCAATGACTCGCAAGTCAAACTCAGAGGTCAAAGGCTCGAACTACGAGAGATTGAGCATCACTCTGTCGCATGCTTTCCGGGTGCAAAGGAGGTGGTTGCTGAGGTTGTCTATCCTAGAGATGACCACGCTGGAGCCACCCTCGCGGCTTTTGTGGTGCTTGATAAAGCCGAAAGCCATGACACAGTGAGTGTCCCGTCTCCAGAAGGCGGGCCTGCCCATTTGATTTCAGTGCCTGCTTCTGTAGAGGACCGGCTTGCCGAGCGTGTGCCCAGCTATATGGTGCCCAGCGTCTGGGTCATCATGACTGAGCTGCCTCTTACTGAAAATGGCAAGGTTGACCGGAAGGCCCTGCGGAAGGTTGGATCTTCGTTTTCGAGATCGCAACTCGCCCTTCTCGACCATGCTGCGGGGTTACAACGAAGACACCCGACTACCGAAGCCGAACTCGGCCTTGCTCAGCTTTTCGCCCGCGTACTCAATATCGACACTGCTTCAATTGGCATTGATGATAGCTTTCTCCGGATCGGAGGCGACTCCATCACGGCTATGCAGATCTCTGCAGAGGCCAGAGCGAGAGGCCTCAACATATCGACGGCGGCTATTCTCCGCCACAAGACTATTACTGCCATACTGGACTCAACCAGAGACTCCGAGCCGTTCATATTCGTGGAAGAAGCTAGGCATCGGGAAACGCCCGCGATTCCTGACAGGCAGAATGTCGGATCCAAATATTGTGACTTCGATGCTTTTCAAGCGCAGATTCTTCCGCAAATCGATACCACTTTGCGACCCGAAGATGTGGAAGACATGTTCCCATGCTCGCCGATGCAAGAAGCCATGCTGATCAGCCAGGCAAAAGATTCCAAGATGTACCGTACGCGGATGGATCTTGAACTTCTTTTGCCGACCGACTGCAACTCACTTGATGAGGCTCAGTTGCAGTGGGCATGGAAAGAAGTCGTAAAGCGTCATGCGTTACTGCGCGCTATTCTGGTAAACCACATACCAGGTAGCAGCGGCATGATGCACGTTATTCTAAAGAATCCTGAGGTCGGGATGTCGATTAGAAGAAACACCAGTAGAACCACCTTGTACGAGGCCCTCGAGGACGATATTGTCAGCTACCGTCACTGCGGGCTTCAGCACCACGTAACACTATACCAGCTGGACAGTGGCAACCCACATCTATTGCTGGATCTCAACCATGTCATCGCAGATGGCCACTCCACCAGCATCATGATCCGAGAACTCCAAGATTATTACAATCACGGTAAAACACAATCTTCGCCACAGAGCTACCACGAGTACATATCCTTTCTTAAGAGCAGAGGTCTGGATGAGGGACTCGAGTACTGGACCAAGTTCCTCGCTGGCGTAGAACAGTGCTATTTCCCCGAGCTCGTCAGCGAAGACATGAGACATTGTCCCTCTCGCGAAATGATAACGGTAGCCGACATTGACACTGACCGCATGCGGGCATTTTGCGCCAGCTGGGAGCTGACACCAGCCATCCTTATCCAGGTGGCATGGGCAACTGTCCTGAAGTCATACACCGGGATGCAGCGACCGTCATTTGGTGTAATTTGTTCCGGCAGAGACCACCCAATCGACCATGTTGATGGGATCTTTGGTCCTCTGATCGGTATGGTCACAGCCTCCATTTCGCTTGAAAACGATCACGATGTCCAAGAGGTACTGACAACGGCGCAATCGAATTATCTGACGGCGCTATCTCATCAGACGGTGCCACTTGCAGCTGTGCACAGCGCACTGGGATTAGGATCATCTGCACTGTTCAACAGCATCTTGTCTTTCCAGAAAAACGAAAATTATGTTGCAGAAGTGAATGAGGCTGGTTTGAAGATGAAAATTGTGGATGGTTTCGACCCCAACGACGTGAGCCCCCTTCCCCTCTGACTAGCTCAATCTCGAGAGAACAGAATATCTCGATACTGACAGCCCGCAGTATGCTGTGTCTGTTCGGATTGTTGACACCACCAACGAAATAAAGATCTTCATTGATCATGCTGGGGTACTGCAGAAGTCTCAAAGCCTTTGGCTCGGCCAGTGCTTCAGCACCGCTTTGACTACGATTATGGACAACGTCCAGGGCATCGTCTCTCAGCTCGACCTACTGGACAATCATAGTCTGCAACAACTTTGGACGTGGAACAAGGACGTACCATCGTCTATCAATGCATGCACACATCATCTCGTTGAGAGGCAGGCTAAGGAAACTCCAGACCACAAAGCAATTGAGTCGTGGGACGGAAGTTTAACTTTCTCTGATTTGAATAAGCAAGCAAACACTCTCGCTCACTACCTGATATCGCTGGGAGTTAGTTCAGGCATCATTGTGCCAATATGCTTCGACAAGTCGCTGTGGGTTGTCATCACTATGTTGGCTGTTCTCAAGACCGGGGCTGCGTTTGTGCCGCTTGACCCATCACAGGCGCCGGAACGTCGAGAGCTGGTGCTCCAGCAGGTCGATGCGCACCTTATCCTGACTTCGGAACAATTTTCCGGGATATTCTATGGGGAAAGTTATTCCTCGTTTGCGGTGACAGCTGCTTCCATACGTCGCCTATCATCAAGCCATAGAGGCAAAGAAACCCCAGTCGTCCAAGTCGATCCCTCCTCCACCATGTACTGCCTGTTTACATCCGGCAGTACGGGTGTTCCCAAGGGGGTCATTCTACCCCACCAAGCCGTGAGCACCAGTTGTACCCACCATGGCAGACGCATCCACTTCAGCACGAGTACAAGAACATTGCAGTTCTCGGCGTATACTTTCGACGCTTGCATCATGGAAATCTTCACCACTCTGATGTTTGGCGGTTGCATTTGCATCCCTTCGCCTTCAGAAAGGTTGGACAACATCGCCAGAGCCATCCAGGCTATGGGTGTTAACTTGTTGTTCGCAACACCGACGGTCGCAAGACTGATAAACTCTGAGGAGGTTCCATCACTACGTACCATCATTATTGGTGGGGAGATGTGCTCCTCTGCCGACTATGCAAGATGGCACCACCTCGAAGTGGTCATGCAGGCCTACGGTCCTACTGAATGTGCCATTTTCTGCACTCTAAATGACGAAAGTTCTCAAACAGCATACAGGAATTGTATTGGCCACGCTGTAGGAACGATAGGGTGGCTGGTTGATCCAGGAGATGAGAGTAAGCTTGCGCCAATCGGCGCTGTGGGCGAACTGGTTGTAGAGGGCTCTCAACTGGCTGGAGGCTATCTCCATGATGAGGCTCGTACCACAAGCTCCTTCATTTTGAACCCTCCCTGGCTCCTACGTGGGTCTCTATCAGCCCCAGGACGCGAGGGTCGGCTGTACAAGACGGGTGACTTGGTGCGATATGTTGGGGATCAAGGCCACATGTCCTACGTTGGCAGGATAGATGCCCAAGTGAAACTTCACGGCCAACGCATGGAGTTGGCTGAGACGGAGCATCACATGATGGCATGCGTGCCAGGAATTCTCCAAGCTGCAGCCGAGGTTGCTAGACCGGGAGGCAAAGGCGCGGGGCCAGCCCTTGTCGGATTCCTTGTCCTGGACGATCGAGACAGGTCCACACATCCTCTTCCCGCACAAGATGACAGCCCCGAGACCAGTATCAGGGGCTCCACCAGCGTTCATCACCTGGCAGCTTCGATTGAAGATGATCTGGCCAACAGACTACCGAGTTACATGATTCCAACCATCTGGTTCACAATCAGTCAGCTCCCTATGGGAAACTCTGGCAAGACAGACCGGAAAAGGTTAAGGAGTATTGTGTCGTCCTTCACCGTCGCCGAACTTGCTGGCCTTAAGCGAAGCGGACCAAATCGTGAAGTGACCACATCACAAGAGAAACAAGTTCAACGCCTATGGGCCCGAGTGTTGCAGCTGGAAGAGTCGACCATCGGCCCCGACGACAGTTTCTTCCGGCTAGGGGGTGACTCAATCTCTGCTATGAAGCTAGTCAGCGAAGCCAGGAAAGATGGAGTCACGCTTTCTGTTGCACAAGTCTTCCAGCAACCGAAGCTTCAGCAACTTGCGCAGCAAGTTGGCTCAAGCTCCGATTTTGACGCTGTATCACCTGGTGTCCGAAGCTTCTCTCTGTTACATGGCATTATAGACATTCAGAAGTGCAGAGAACAGGCTGCTGAGCTGTGTGGGTTACATGTACAAAACATTCAAGACATATACCCCTGCACGCCACTGCAGGCAGGTCTCATGGCTCTCACATCGAAGCAGGCTGGAAGTTACATCTTACAGACTGTTGTGGAACTCCCTGCCGAAATCGACATACGACGCTTCAAAAACGCGTGGGAGAGGACCGTAAATCATAGTTCGATCTTGCGCACCAGAATCGTTCAGTGCGATGGCACCGGTCTTGTTCAGGTTGTCTCGTGCAAAAGTCAGATTGAATGGAAAGTGTCGAAGAACCTGGAACTCCATCTTCGGGATGACAAGTTGATTGCCATGGGCTTGGGAGAACCACTTTCCCGCTTCGCACTCATACATGAAGCCTCGACGGAAAAGACTCTGTTCAGCTGGTCAGTTCATCATTCGCTTTATGATGGAGCATCAATGCCACTCGTCTTATCACTTGTCAAGGAGTTCTACAACGGGGGCAGCCCGCCGCCCCAGGCGGAGTTCAACATGTTTGTCAAGTACACTCAAGGCTTGAACAAGGAGGATGCCACCGAGTTCTGGAATTCAGCTCTGGATCACGTGGAGGGCCAGCCCTTCCCATCCGTTCCCAGCAATCTTCATATTGTCAATGCTGACACAACGCTGGAGAGATCATTGTCTATCGCTCCTTCTGTCAGCGTGGACTTCACAATGTCGACAATCATCAGAGCCGCATGGGCTTTGACAGTCTGCCGGAATACCGCCACAAAAGATGTTATATTCGGGGCTACCCTGTCCGGCCGCAATGCTTCTGTGCCGGAGATCGACAGCATGATCGGTCCAACTATTACAACCGTACCTATAGTTGCCCGTGTTTTTGATGGATTCTCTGTTTCAGACTTTCTGAGTCAGCTCCAGCGCGACGCCACCGCCATGATTCCATTTGAACAGACAGGTCTCCAGAATATTGCCAAGATAAGTGCGAACACCCGGCTTGCTTGCAATTTCCAGACTCTGCTTGTCGTTCAGCCACCGGCCTCCAGTTTACCAAGCCAAGAGCTTGGTGTGTGGCGAGAGATTCCCCAGACAGAAGAATTCACGACATACGCTATTACACTGATTTGTCAACTCAGATTTGACGGCTGTTTGGATATACGATGCAGCTTCGACTCGAAGGTTGTTACCTTACCTCGGATGGAAAGAATACTAGAGTACTTCATCAGTGCCATCGAACAATTGTCAACAACAGACCTCTCTCAAGATATTGCCGAGTTTCTTGGTCCCGACAGTGCAGACCTCGATCGAATCTGGTCCTGGAATAGCACTGTTCCTGACACTGTTGATCTTTGTGTCCATGACCTGATCGCCAGCCAGGCACTTTCGAGACCTGATGCTCAAGCAGTCTGTGCTCACGATGGAGAGCTCACTTTCGCTCAGCTCGACGATCTTGCAACGAAGGCCGCTCATCGTCTCATCGTGGCCGGTATGGGAATCGAGACTTTGATACCATTGTACTTCGAGAAGTCACTATGGACCATCGTTGCCATGGTCGCTGTTCTTAAAGCAGGGGGCGCGTTTGTACCTCTTGATCCCAACCAGCCAGCTTCTCGGGCGGCAGACGTTCTGAAGCAGATCAGCGCACGGTTGATTCTCACATCCCAAAGTCTTCAGTCAACAGACTTCGGTGTCGAAATCGATATCATCACCGTCGGTCCGGGCCTACTCAGAGACGACAAGGGGCTCACTGATGATCTGCCTTCAGTTCCATCCAGCTCCGCTGCCTATGTGATATTCACATCAGGCAGCACAGGCACACCCAAGGGCGTAGTGCTCGAACACCGAGCCACTAGCAGCGGGTGCCACTATCATGGTACCAAAGTTGGCCTTGACCATGACTCTCGAGTATTGCAATTCGCATCATATACCTTCGATGCCTCGGTCTTCGAGATAATTACAGCTCTCGTATTTGGTGGCTGTGTCTGTGTGCCATCCGAGGCACAGCGTTTTGATGGCTTGGCGCAGGCCATGGAGGCCATGCGTGTCAATGTTGCATTACTCACGCCATCAATCGCGAGACATCTTGAGCCTGATGCTGTCCCATCGTTGCAAGTCATTCTGTTGGGCGGAGAGGCGTCAGCTGCGGATGATTACGCCAGATGGATGGCAAGCACCCGGGTCTTAAACCTGTACGGCCCCACAGAAGCCACAGTCATCTGCGCCGCCGTCGAAGTCACAGTAGATGCTCCAATCCACGGCAGTATCGGAACGGCAACAGGTTCGGCCAGCTGGATCGTCGACCCACGAGATCCAGGGACGCTTCTGCCTATAGGCGCTACGGGAGAACTTCTTGTGGAGGGTCCCATCCTAGCGCGAGGCTATATCAATGACGCCGAGAAGACCAGAGCAGCCTTCATTGATGGTCCGTCATGGTTGGCGAAGGGGGTTGAACATATCCCAGGTCGACATGGTCGACTTTACCGGACCGGTGACCTCGTTCAATACGCAGAGGATGGTAGTCTTGTATACGTCGGTCGTCAAGATGCCCAAGTCAAAATTCGCGGCATGCGCGTCGAACTGGCCGAGATTGAGCATCATGCTGCGGCCTGTGTCCCGGAGGCAGAGCAGCTCATTGCCGACATCATTAGGCCTGCGAATGAAAGAAACGTTAGCATGCTTGCTCTCTTTGCCGTCATTGATCACAACAACCGCCATCACTTACTTCTAGACGAAGGGGCGGCGTCGGAAAGCGACGGGTTCGAAATATGCTGTCGTTCAATACCCATCTCATTGGAACAGTCTTTACTAGAAAGACTACCGACTCACATGGTACCAGGTATCTTGTTCGTCCTAGATCGTCTTCCTCTCAACATGGCCGGCAAGACAGACCGGAATAAATTACGCGAAATTGGCTCGTCTCTATCCAACACCCAGTCCCCGTCCCTTCTCACACGGCCAAGGCGCGACATGTCAGAGCCGGAAGCAAAAATGCATGCCATTTGGGCACGGACATTGAACATCGAATTCTCCACCTTTGATATTGACGATAGCTTTATTCGCATCGGTGGCGATTCAATTACTGCCATGCAGGTATCATCGACAGCTAGAACGCAAGGGATGAACATCTCGACAGCGGATATTCTCCAGCACAAGAGCATCAGTGCAATTGTTCAAGCTTGGAGCTCGCGCTCGCTAAACGGGGAGGAAAAGTCAAGCCAGATCTTGACTTCGCTTCAACGCGCGAAAGACGCAGTTAACGGTGGACAATCATTCCCCCTCAGCCCGATCCAGCAACTCTTCTTTCTACACCAGAAAGACCCCAATGTGCCTTTCAATCAGTGCATTTTACTTCAGCCACGTGAAGCCATTGGATTCAAGGGTCTACAGGACGCTTTCGACACCTTAGTCGATGTACACTCTGTTCTCCGTACCGAGTTCCAGGTATCAGCAACAGGAGCTTGGCAACAACGAATACGACCTAATGCTTCCGGGAAGGCCCCGAAATCCTTCAGTATTTCCCATGATCGTATCACAAACCTGAGCGAGATTTCAGCTCTCATCTCAAACCGACAGAAGTTACTCAACATCAAGGAAGGCCATCTAGTAGTAGCTGGATTAGTCGATGTCGGCGAAGCTCGATTAGTCTTCATCAGTATACACCATTTGGTCGTAGATCTTGTCTCCTGGAGAATCATCCTTGAGGATCTGGAGTTGTTGCTCTGTGGACCAGTCCTCTGACGGCGCCTCCGGTTCCATTTGAGGCTTGGACCATTTACAGGCAGACTACTCCATGAACCACCTTGCTCAAAAACTGGTGGTACCCTTCGAGCTGGAGCCACCTCAACATTCTTATTGGGGACATGAGAGCCGCTCGCCGGGCACGACAACGACAAAAGGCTTTGCTCTTGATCAGGGTGTAAGCTGTGCCCTGCTGGGCAACTCCAATGACGCTTTTGGCACCAAGCCCACAGATCTCATGCTCTCGTCTCTTCTCTACGCATTCGGGCTAGCATTCAAAGACAGAGAGCTTCCAACGATCTTCAATGAAAGCCATGGCCGCGAAACCTGGGATACTAGCATTGATCTTTCGAGGTCAGTCGGCTGGTTTACAACACTTTACCCTGTTCAAGTCCGGCCATTACAGCCCGGCCTCCTGGGCTTTGTTCGGAGTGTGAAAGACTGCGTCAGGAACATCCCGCAATCGGGTTTCCAGTTTTTTACGTCAAAATTCCAAAATAACAAGGCAGCCAAAGATTTTGCAGCCTCATTTCCAGTGGAAATTATGTTCAACTATAGCGGTAGGATTCAGCAGCTGGAGCGCAAAGATGCGTTCTTCAAAAACGTGTCGATCCCGGAGGACAAGTCTACACAACCAACCAAATTCAATCGGCACGCGTTATTCGATGTACTCATCGACGTCACGGACGAATGCCTACGCGTTTCCTTCATTTATGACGACGGTGTGGCCGCGAGACACGGCCAAAAAATTCAAAAGTGGATCAGTGAGTGTCAGGCAGCCTTGGAGGAGCTGGGGACAAGGCTTCCTTTAGAGTCGCAGCAATTCACTTTGACGGATATCCCGGGAGCATTTGACTCGTATGAGAGCATCATCGAGTTACAGGATAACATCCTGCCAGCACTTACAATCAATACTGTGAACGACATCGAAGACATCTTCCCCTGTGCTCCTACACAGGAGGGAATACTAATTAGCCAGGCTAAGGATACGCGAAGCTACCGCTCCCGAGTCAATATCAAGGTAGAAGCTCAACCGGGCTCTGCTGTTGACGTTTCGAAACTTTGTAAGGCATGGACAGCGGTTGTGAAGCGTCACACACTCCTTCGGGCTGCCATCATTGACAGTTTTCCTGGCACTGGCCGGACCACGCACATCATTCTCAAGGATCCCGCCCTCGAGATCGACATGCACAACGACTCGACGGCAGAGGCAGCAGCTTTGGCCCTGAGCCAAGGTACAGATCCGAGAAAATGGCACCTACAACATCATGTCAGCCTTCACAGAGTCGATTCTCGGAAAATATATGTTATTCTTGAAATCAACCACGCCATCGTGGACGGTTATTCAATTGGCCTGTTACTCGCAGATCTCCAAGCGGCTTACGATGGCATCCTGCCACTTACTCCGGCACCATCCTATCGCAATTTTGTCGATCACGTCTGTCGACAGCCGGTCGATGACAGCTGCACCTTTTGGAGAACCCTCCTCTCTAGTGCAAAACCATGCTTATTTCCCTCCTTGGGAGACAACTTGAATGCCGTCACTATTGGCCTTCAACAGGATTCGACAAGGATAGTTATTCCAGACATCAACACGCAGCAGATTCGATCTTTCTGTGTGCTGCACGAAGTGACGCCCGCGTCTATCATCCAGACCGCCTGGGCCATGGTTTTAAGCCACTACACTGGCTCTGATGCGCCGAGCTTCGGGGTTCTCTGTTCGGGACGTGACCTACCCATCAATGGTGTCGAGCTTATTTTTGGTCCACTCATTAGCATGCTAGTTTGTCATGTTGACCTTGCAAACAAGACACAAAGCTTAGTGGATACTGTAAAGATCGTGCAAGAGGGGTACTCGAGGAGCCTGCCTCACCAGAGTGTTCCACTTGCTACTATCCATCACTCTCTTGGCTTGGATGCGACTGTTGCACTGTTCGATACCGTCGTCTCGTTCCAAAAGTCCAGTAGCACGGTGGGGCAGCACTGTCAACATGAAGTTAAGTTCATTGTCGAAGACGGCATTGATCCATCAGAGGTAGGTCGGATCAGAGGCACAGCTCAGTGGTGTGTGACCAGCTTGCTAATCTCCTCTGCTTCTTCTAGTATGCTATCTCTATCCAGGCGGTAGATAGCACCGAAGGGGTGCGTGTGATTATGGACTATCGCCTTGATCTTTCCGTCACCCAGGCAAACCAGCTCGCTCGCTGTTTCAGTGCCGCCATTGCTTCTATTGTTACACCTGCAACCGATTTGGCCATTGCAAGGCAAATCCAGGACGTCGATCTCCTTGACAACTCAACATGGGCTCAAATCTGGAATTGGAACAAAGACCTCCCCCATCTGGTTGAAAAGTCCATCCAAGAACTCGTCGCGCATCAAGTTGAGGTGCAGCCAACAAGACCCGCGGTCTGCGCATGGGATGGCGAGTTGTCCTACGCCGAACTTGACAACATCAGCACACGACTGGCTTGGCATTTGGTGATCAATTTGGATGTACAGCCAGGCATCTCCTTAATCCCTGTCTGTTTCGAAAAATCCATGTGGATTGTCGTTACAATCATGGCAGTGCTCAAAGCTGGTGCGGCATTTGTGCCTATCGATCCAACACAAGCTCCCGAGCGTCGGGAGAAGTTGCTTGGCGAACTCGATGCTAAACTGGTCCTCACATCGACAAAATATTCACAAATTCCCTTCGGCGAAGGCCGCGCCGTCGTCTCAATTGACCGGATAATGCTTAACCAGTTGGCAGATCAAACGATCGCGGATGTAACCCTTACGAACTGTGACCGAGACGCGCCATGCTACGTACTCTTTACGTCAGGTAGCACGGGTTTGCCAAAAGGAGTCACACTGCAACATCAAGCTGTGGCCACAAGCTGCTATCATCATGGCACAGCAATAGGGTTCTCCCAAACCTCGCGTGTTTTCCAATTCAGTGCCTACACATTCGACGCGTGCATCATGGAAATAATCACGACACTCATCTTTGGAGGTTGTGTTTGTATCCCTTCGAGCGATGACCGTATGGACGATATTCCTGGCTCACTTAGTACATTACGGGCCAACATGACTTTCCTGACGCCTACGGTGGCCAATCTCATCGACCCACGAGATGTTCCATCGCTTGAGACCATTATTCTTGGTGGCGAAGCAACCACGACCGAAGACTTTGTCCGATGGAGACATTTGAAAAGGGTGCTCAACGGGTACGGTCCAACGGAATGTACTGTGTTCTGTCTCATGAACTCTACAGAAGAGAATTACAATTTACGCGGCCGCATTGGACGCGCAGTTGGCTCGGTGAGCTGGATTGCAAACCCTGAGGACCCCACGAAGCTACTTCCGATTGGAGCAGTAGGGGAGCTGCTCATCGAAGGCCATGGCCTGGCCAAGGGATATCTCAACGACGCTGAACGAACCTCGAGATCCTTTATTGACGGTCCACGATGGCTCACCCGCGCGGGACGCTCAGGGCGGTTATACAGGACAGGCGACCTCGCACGATACGATGCGCACGGCGGCGTGATCTATCTCGGACGCGCAGATACACAGGTCAAGATTCGTGGTCAGAGAGTTGAGCTCAAGGAGATTGAGCTCCAGCTATCTGCCACTCTTCCGCAAGCGCAGCAAGTGGTTGCAGAGATCCTTTCGGAACCTGGGGAGGAGGCCAAAGCAATCTTAGCTTCATTTGTTGTCTCCACCGCCGCAGCTCATGAGAGGACAGAGGTGATCAGTTCTTTCGAAAACACACCTGATACCGACGAGCAGCTGGCGAGGCGTCTTCCCTCATATATGATACCAAGTACTTGGTTCTTCATTTCGCAGCTTCCCCTGACTACATCAGGCAAAACCGACAGACAGAAGCTGCGCAAAGTGGGTTCTGCCTACCTAAAATTGCACCCGGAATCCTTGAAAACCTCATTAAAGACTCAAAAGCGGGCTCCGGAGACAGAACATGGAAAGCTGCTACGCCAGCTCTGGGGAGATGTCCTCGGCCTGACTGCTGCCGGGATTGGCCTAGATGACGATTTCTTCCGACTTGGAGGCGACTCCATTGCCGCGATGAAACTGGCAAGTTCGGCTCGCAAAGCCGGTATAAAGATTTCTGTGGCGCAAATTTTCAAGAGCCCGGGGCTGCAGGACCTGGCCGAATTTCTCAGACTCTCTGCTGCGTCAAGATTTGACGAGACATCAGAGAAGATCGAAGTTTTGGCACCTTTCGCACTCCTTGGGAAGGCCGCAAACATTGATCAGTACCGTCAAGAAGCTGCCGATATCTGCGGCGTCGCGAGCGATGCTATCGAAGACATGTATCCTTGTACACCGATCCAAGAAGGACTTGTGTCGCAGACGATCAAGAATGCAGGAGACTATGTTTTACAGAACGTCATGGAACTGAATGACGATGTTGACATATCGCTGTACCGCCAAAGCTGGGAATGCGCCGTTTCCGCGAACCCGATTCTGCGTACAAGGATTATCCAGCACTCCAACCATGGCCTGCTCCAAGTTGTCATACGCGAGAAAATCAACTGGAGAGAAGCAAGTCACCTCCAGGAGTACCTCACAAGTGACAAGGCCGAAGGCATGGATCTTGGGTCCCCACTCGCACGATACGCTCTTGTGCACAGTGACAGTGATCGAAAGAGCTGGTTCGTTTGGACCATCCAACATTCAATCTATGACGGTGGGTCTTTGCCATTGATGAAGATTCAGACTGAGATGGCCTACCTCAAGAAGCCTTCGGCTTCGCTGCCACCTCCAAAGTTCAGCTCTTTCGTCAAGCATATTATGGACCTCAACAAGGATGAAGCAGCCCTCGGCTTCTGGAAGAAGGAACTCGCCGGGTTTGATTCTCCAGCATTCCCACCTCTTCCAAGCGCAGACCACCATGCAGTAGCCGATGCCTTAGTCGAGCGAACGTGTATGTCGCTGCCGAGAAATCTTGAATGCGGTGTCACAGTAGCCGATGCGCTTCGAGCGTCGTGGGCTCTCACAGTGAACCGCCAGACTGGCGTCGACGATGTCGTCTTTGGGATGACTTTCTCTGGCCGCAATGTTCAAATTGATCGAATCGAGGAACTTGTCGGACCGACCATAGCAACCGTCCCCGTGCGTGTTCGCATTCCTCAAGATTCTACAGTCTTCGACTATTTAGCCACCGTCAGAGACCAATCGGCGGCGATGATGCCCTATGAACAGACTGGCATGCATCAGATTGCCACCATCAGCCCAGATTCTCAGCGAGCGTGTAACTTTCAGACATTGCTTGTCATTCAGCCGGCAGAGAGCGGTTATGAAACCCATGGGGAGTCTCAGCTAGGGACTTGGCACAACAACATAAAGACGCGCGAGTTCACAACTTATGCTATCACTATCGTCTGTCAGCTTGGAAAGAGTGGAGGATTCAAGATAAGTTGCGCCTTTGATCCCAGGGTGGTCGCACCGTGGAGAATGGAACGGATTCTTGACCACTTTGTCGCTACAACACGGCGGCTTCTTGAAGCGCAGCCACATGTTACGCTGGTGGCTATCAGTGAACTGCCACAAGCAGATCTTGAAGACATCTGGGCTTGGAACGACAAGGTGCCGATGGCGGTTGAGAGGCCTATCCACAACGTTATTCGAGATCGAATGTCTCGACAGCCGGAGTCGCTTGCAGTTGATGCGTGGGACGGCAAGATGACATACGGCGAGCTGTTGGCAACTTCGGGACTGATAGCAACCCATCTTCAAAGTTTGGGAGTGGAAAAGGGCAGCATTGTGCCGTTGGCTTTCGAGAAGTCGATGTGGGCCATTGTCGCAATGATGGCTGTTCTGCAAGCATCTGCCATCTTCGTGCCACTGGATCCGACACAGGCTTCGGGTCGTCGTGAGCGGGTGCTGGAACAGACAGACGCCAAGCTCATCATTACTTCGGAGATCTATTCGGAACTGGAGATTGGCAACAGAATGTCGGCTTTGTCGGTTGGGCCAAAGCTGCTGGCCTCTTTGCAGCAAGACATCACCATGATGGGAACCGACAACGAGACAGCTGACGAGGTTGACCCAAGCTCCGGTGCCTATGTCATCTTCACCTCGGGCAGCACAGGCCAGCCTAAGGGAGTGCTCGTGTCCCACTGCGCCATCAGCTCAAGCACCTACTACCATGGATCCTTCATCGGCCTGCGCACCAGCGCCCGCTTCCTCCAGTTCGCAGCATACACATTCGATGCTTCCATTGCCGAGATCCTGACGACTCTTACCTTTGGCGGTTGTGTGTGCGTTCCGTCACAAGATGAGTTGCTTGGCGATCTTGCGGGCGCGATACAATCGTTCTCTGTCAATGTCGCTCTCCTCACCCCGTCAGTGACGAGAACGCTACGGCCCAGCGCCGTACCCACCCTGAAGACCTTGCTCTTGGGCGGAGAGGCTGTCCTACAATCCGACATTGAGTGCTGGACGCCCACTGTCGAGACTGTCATCAATCTTTATGGTCCCACAGAGTGCGCCGTCATTTGCTGTGGTGGGCGACTGGAGAAAGCCCAGGTCGCCAACAAGCTCACAGCTGGACAGCTAGGCAAGGCAATTGGGTCCGCAACCTGGATTGTTGATCCGAACAATGGCGATAAATTGATGCCCGTTGGTGCCATTGGCGAGCTTGTCATCGAAGGGCCAATCCTAGCACAGTGCTACATTGGCGACACAGAACGCACCGATGCCTCCTTCGTTCAAGATCCTGCATGGCTTGCCAACAGAAGAGGCGGCAGGGTATACAAGACTGGCGATTTGGTGCGGTACTGCCGTGATGGTAGTCTATCCTATATCGGTCGCAAGGACAATCAGGCGAAGATCCGTGGCCAGCGACTAGAGGTAGCAGAGGTCGAGTTCCATGTGCAGGCGTGCATGACCAATACCAGGCAGTTGGTTGTTGAGGTCATCACCATCGGCGACGCTCCGAACCCTGTGCTCGCTGCCTTCGCTGTCGCTGTACCTCGCGAGGCCAACCACATTGTCACTGACGATTTTGGGACGCGACTTTTTCAAGCAACAGCAGACATTGAGGAAAGTCTGTCCACAAAACTCCCTAGCTACATGATACCAACACTCTGGTTCAGCATGGACAGAATCCCGCTCAACGCGTCTGGAAAATCTGATCGGAGGAGGTTGCGCGAGCTGGGCGCTAATTGCTACTTGGCCGATGTCCTCAGCGGACAACATGACGAGAAGCGACCAAGCAAGGCAGTGCCGACGACTGAAGATGAACGCTTGCTACAGAGCGCCTGGGCGCGCGTTCTTAACATTAATTCTTCGACAATTGGACTCGACGACAGTTTCCTGCGTTTAGGGGGAGACTCCATCACAGCCATGCAGGTGTCATCCGCGCTGCGCGCATCGTCACTCCACATTCCTGTTGCCACAATTCTCAAGAAAAAAACCATCAGGCGAATCCTCGAGGCCTTGATGATCCAACAGACCGCAACATCCGTCGACCCAGCTGCGTATTCTAGCGCTATTATCGCTCGCGACAATGCGATGCCTGGCGAGCTCTTCGAGCTCAGCCCCATCCAGCAGGTCTTTTTCGGGCATCAGCTGAATCCTCACGTCCAGTTCGATCAGTGCTTCTTTCTGAGGGTCTCTTTGCCATTGAGCCACCATGAACTGCTGCAGGCGCTTGATGTCATCGTAGCAACTCACTCTATGCTGCGATCCCGCTTCCTCAAGGACTCGAATGGTTCATGCAGCAATACATCCTGCCCGAGTCCAGAAACTCGTACAGCATGCAATTTGCAGGCGATTTGGATGACGGCGGAGTGCTGAGTGCTATCGCCAATTGCCGCGCTTCTCTTGACATAGAATCAGGTCCGCTCTTTGCCGGCGTCGTGATCGACAAAGCGAGTGAACAGAATCTGTTTCTCGCAGTTCACCATCTCGTTATCGACTTGGTTTCGTGGAGAGTCATACTTCAAGATCTCGAGAACCTTCTCACAACAAAGACGGATGGAATCCCAGCCACTCTGCCATCTCCACTGATGCCCTTCTCTACTTGGTGCAAGCTCCAGGGGGTGTACGCCAAGTCTATTGCACAATGTGACAACATGCGGTTTGAGGATATTGAGGCGCCGCTGCTGTCATACTGGGGAGTCGAGGCTGCAGGTGACGAATTGCAAAAAACGACCAGCTACAGCTTCACTCTGAGCAGCGATACCACATTGGCGCTCTTCGGCAAATGCAACGACGCATACAGAACACGACCCATGGAGTTGATGATTGCGTGTCTGCTTCATGCATTCGATCAAACTTTCACGGATCGACCACTGCCCACGATTTGGAACGAGGGTCATGGCCGCGAAGTCTGGGATGACAGCTTGGATCTCTCCAGGACCTGCGGGTGGTTCACGACACTGGTCCCGGTGCAAATATCTGGGATCAAACAACAGACACTACAAGAGTTCATTCGCCGCGTGAAAGACTACATCCGTAGTATCCCGCAGAATGGGTGGTCCTACTTCGTCTCCCGCTTTGTCAATAAGGACTCGTGCGACAAGTTCATCTCAAACCTGCCCGTTGAGATCATGTTCAACTACAGCGGCGGTTATGGGCAGCTTGAACGCGGGGATTCGCTCTTCGAAAATATTACTGCCCCGGCCTCGCGAGATCTACAGACGGAAATGGCGTCAACATTTAGACGACACGCAGTCTTCGATGTTCTTGCTGGTGTCCAGCGCGGCCAACTGGCGATTAATTTCGTCTTCCCCCAGACCATAGCGTCTCGGATGAACATCGAGAGATGGATTGCTCAGTATCAGTCCACTTTGGAGTCATTGGCCTCCGAAAGCGTCATCAGTGAGAGGAGTTCCGGTGAAAAGAATATCAGTCGCCTGACCTTGTCTGACTTTCCCGGCCTGTTCGGCTCTTACGAGGCCATCGACGAATTCCATACCAATGTTCTACCAGCACTTGGCATTGACTGCATCGACGATATCGAGCATATCTACCCTGCCGCCCCAACACAAGAAGGCATTCTGATCAGTCAGGCCAAGGATCCCAAAAGCTATCATTCCCGCCTGCACATCGTGGTCTCCTCTAACGAGAGAGGTCCACCGATTGACGTCAAAAGACTGCAAGATGCGTGGCGAAGTGTCTCTCGACGACATGATCTTCTCCGCGCCGTCTTCATCCGTGAGTTCCCTGGAAACAGCCGCATCATGCAAGCTATCCTCGCCAACCCCAAATTGAGCATACACGTCCACAAAAATGCTACGGATTTAGATGTAACGCGTCTCATGCACACGCAACTGTCCCCGCACTATCAGCAATCGGGACTGCAACATCACCTTGACATGCTTCTCGTCGACGAAAGGAAGGCCAACCTCATTCTAGAGATCAATCATGCCATCATCGACGGCTACTCCACCAATATCATAGCGAGAGACTTGAAGTCTGCCTATGAGCACGCTGATGTATCGCTAACACCAAGTGTGTCGTCCTATGGGGATTTCGTCATGTCCCTCGACGGCCAGTCACGGGAAGAAGGCCTCGAGTTTTGGGCAGCAAGTCTCGCAGGAACCAAGGCGTGTCACTTCCCAGGCTTTCCAACGCATTTTGCAACGATCGGAAACGCTGCTTTGAATGATGAGCAAAAGCAGAGAGACCAAGACGAATCCACTACCGTCAAAGTCCCTCTTCTGGATACCAATCTCATCAGGCAGTTCTGCCAAGCATTAGAGATCACCCCGGCCACCGTCGTGCAGCTCGCTTGGGCAGTAGTCCTGCGATGGTACACCAACTCACTGGACACGTGCTTTGGCATATTGTGCTCTGGGCGAGATCTTCCGATCGATGGCGTTGACGAGATCTTCGGGCCGCTCATTTGCATGTTAATCTGCCGCGTTCAATTCAGCGTCGATGGCATGACAGTGGCTGAGGCGCTGGAGCAAGTGCACGCTAGCTATGTTGAAGGCCTACGATATCAGACATTTTCGTTGGCAGCAGTACACAATGCGTTGGGGCTAGGAAGCGATGCGCTTTTCAATAGCGTCGTATCATTCCAGAAAGCTGGAGGTGATGCTGAGGAGGAAATAAGTCGTGGACAGGAGGGTGGTAGTGTTCAGGTATCATTAGTCGGCGGTTATGATCCTACCGAGGTACGTTGCTGTTGCCCAAGCCAATACCTCCACTGTTACTATCTGGACAACCTTTTGCTAACAAAGAACATAGTATGGCGTCTCCGTTCGCGCAATCGACACCCCCGATGAGCTTTTTGTCTTCGTCGACTGTCAATCCGCAATGAGCGCTGGCGAAACAGATCGGATCGGACAATGCTTCAGCACAGCAATCGCGTCTATTGTAGCCAACAGCCAGTCTCCGATCAAGGAACTTGATGTATTGAGCGTGAAGGCGCGGGATCAAATCTGGCAGTGGAATCACGTTGTTCCGAGAGCATCCGACAAATGTGTCCATGACCTAATCGAGGAGATGGCACTTACTTGCTCCAATAAGGTGGGCATCAGCAGCTGGGATGGTGATCTAACATACAAGGACATCACTGAACACGCGGGTCGACTCGCGAATAGCCTTGTTGGCAGAGGCCTTGCTCAAGAAACAATCGTCCCTTTGTGCTTCGAAAAGTCGAAATGGACAGTTGTGGCAATGCTCGGCGTACTCAGAGCAGGAGGCGCTTTTGTCCTCTTGGACCCATCTCAGCCTGAAGATCGTCTTTCCAAGATTATACAACAAACGAAGGCTACGACAGGATTGTCTTCCCTGGCAAATAGCAAGCTCATGTCGAGGATGCTGACACATGTCGTGGTTGTCGCCGAGGACTCATTCTATTCGATAACATCCTCGCTCCCCGGTGACCACAAAAGGGGCAATTCGGCATCGTTGATGTACGTCATCTTCACCTCAGGTACCACAGGCGAGCCGAAGGGCACAATGATCAGCCATCGCTCATTTGCTTCCGCCATTGCCCATCAGGCCCAGCGCTCCGGTTTCTCTTCAACAACTCGCCTGTTGGACTTCGCTTCTTATAGCTTTGACGTCTCGATAAACACTCTGATGATGGTCCTCGCTTCTGGTGGTTGCGTCTGTGTGCCATCCGAAGTGGACCGCAAGAACAGTCTCACTGAGGCAATCGTCAGCTTCGGTGTCAACACCATCGATGTAACTCCTTCGGTCTGCCGCCTGCTGAACCCAAATGATATGCCACTGGTCCACACCATGATCCTCGGCGGAGAGCAGCTAAGAGCAACAGACATCGCGCATTGGCCTGGTCATGTCAAGATCCTCAACTGCTACGGTCCTTCAGAATGCACCCCAACGAGCACGATCAATGATATCCAGGGTACTTCTTTTATCACTGGAATAGGCAAGGCCGCGGGTGCTGTCGTTTGGATCGTCGACCCGATTGATCACAACGTTTTGGCCCCGCCTGGTACAGTAGGCGAATTACTTATTGAAGGCCCAATTGTTGGGCAAGGCTACCTCGGCGACCCAGAGCGCACTTCTGCTTCTTTCATCCATGATCCGGACTTCTTGCTAAGAGGTTCAGCGTCGTATCTCGGTCGTGAAGGATATCTTTACAAGACGGGCGACTTGGTGCGATACCAGAGTGACGGCAACTTAACGTACATAGGCCGCAAGGACACGCAAGTCAAGCTCCGCGGACAACGCGTCGAGCTGGAGGATGTCGAGCACCATGCCTTGGCTTCAGTTCCAGGAGCTAAAGAAGTTGTCGTGGAGGTCATCACTCCATCGGGTGAGGGTGGAGGTCAGCAGCTTCTCGCCGCATTTGTGCTTCTTATTCACCAAGACCACACCAAAAATGACGGGTTCCGAACCCAAGGAGGCGCTGGAGTGAGCGCTTTGTCTGGTACTTTGGTCATTGAAGACTCACTCAGCCAGCGGCTGCCGAACTACATGGTTCCGACGGTATGGTTCGCTATCGACGCAATGCCGTTGACGTTAGCAGGCAAAACCGATCGTCGCAAGCTGCGCGAGATCGGATCGTCCTATTCTATGGTGCAGCTGAACGCACAACGCAGCGGTAACACGGGCGACAAGCGCATTCCAACGACAGATGTTGAGAGGACACTACAGTCTCTATGGAGCCACACCTTAGGTGTCCAACTCGGACATATCGGGCTCGACGACAACTTCTTCCGTCTTGGCGGCGACTCTCTCCGGGCAATGAGCTTAGTGTCTACCGCGAGAAAGAGTGGCCTGGGGCTGTCTGTCGCCCAGATATTCGAACATCCGAGGCTAGGTGACATCGCGAATGAGCTTCTGTCAAATAAACACACGCACAAATTGTCTGGGAACGAGGGCGAACCGGAACCGTTCGCCCTGCTCTCGTGGCCCCAGGACCATTTTGATGGATTCACCGACCAGGTGGCTCCAGCTCTGCGCTGTTGAGGCCGAGTCTATGCAAGATATCTATCTACGACACCCTTGCAACAGGGCTCGATGGCGCTCTCGACGAAATTTTCAGGCGAATATATCATTCAGAATGTCATGCAGATTGCTGCTGAGACAGACTGTCACCGATTGCAGCAATCCTGGGTGGAGGCCGTGCGTCTCACTCTCATGCTGCGTACGAGGATCGTACAGCATCACGCCAGTGATCTTATGCTGCAGGTAGTTCTTCAAAGCACAGCTGTGGAGCTGGCTGGCGGGATTCAATGGCAAAGTGGAGATGACCTTGAAACTTACCTTGAATGCGACAAGACGCAGCCTATGCACCTCGGTGAGCCTTTGGTTCGTTATGCCATCATTCGGGACGATGGACAGTCCTACCTTGTGTGGACAATTCACCATGCAGTCTATGATGGACAGTCACTGCCCGCGATCCAGACACTGGTTCGCAATATCTATCACGCCCGGACGGAAGACAATCCCCTTCATCTCCCGTTCAACACATTTGTTCGCCACCTCTTGATGCTAGACGAAAGCGCCAGCAAGACCTTCTGGGGAGATTACTTTGCGGAGTACCAGTCGACTGCCTTCCCACCACTTCCATCCTCATTCCTTGAGAATACCATCAAAGCAGATGTCACAATCGGTCTTGCGATAGACCTGCCCTCCTTGGCAGACTCTAGCGTTACAATGGCGACAATCATCAGGGCTGCTTGGGCTCAGGCTATACATCACAACACCGGGTCGTCGGACATTGTCTTTGGCGCCACGCTCTCCGGACGTAATGCTCCCATCGCGGGTATCGAAGACATTATCGGCCCTACAATCGCCACTGTGCCTGTACGCATCAAGGTACCGCAACGACCTGTGCAATCCACAGTGCTACAGTTCCTGCTCGATGTGCAAGCGAAATCCACCGCCATGATACCCCACGAGCAATTCGGCTTACACAAGATTTCCAAGATCAGTGAGAATGCTCAGCAGGGATGCGAGTTCAAGACATTACTCATCATCCAGCCCCATGAGGAAGATGACAGTGCGGATCTTTCACAAGTGGAATTAGGCACCTGGCTCGAGAATGCAGCCGACACCACCAACTTTAGCACATACCCTTTAACCGTCGTCTGCAGGCTCTCATCCACTGGGAGTATGCACATAGGGTGCTCTGTTGATTCACGCGTGTTGACTCAATGGCGAGCTGAAAAGATTCTGGAACATTTTGGTTTACTCGTTCAGCAGCTTTCAAGCATGGACCTTGACCAATCAATCGAGGAGTTACACGGATTGATGCTGTCAGACAGAGAACTCATTTGGACGTGGAACGAACATGTCCCCGAGCCTGTAGACACGTGTCTGCACGACCTCATTCACCAGAGAGCTATGACGCAGCCGAATGCTCCTGCACTCTGTTGCTGGGACGGAGAGATGAGCTACTGTGAGCTGGACGCAGCCTCATCTAGCTTGGCATCGTATCTTGTCGACAACCTAGGCATCGCCGCTGGCTCCATGGTCCCATTGTGTTTCGAGAAGTCAAGATGGGCGGTTGTTTCCATGGTGGCAGTCCTCAAAGCGGGTGCTGCGTTCGTGCCGCTTGATCCTGCGCAGCCGACTGATCGCAGAGACATGGTGCTCAGGCAGGTCAACGGGTCCGTCATGCTAGCCTCAGAACATCTGGCCGGCGAAATAGACGCCAGCAGTTCTTTCAAGGCCATTGCCGTGGGACCTCAGCTTTTGGCATGTCTAGAACATACTGTCAAAAGCAAATTGGTGTCGAGGCCGGGCAGCCCTGATGGTATCGCATACATAATTTTCACTTCTGGAAGCACCGGTCTGCCAAAGGGTGTCATTATCGACAATCGCGCAATTTCGACAAGCTGTTCTTACCATGGACGTGCCATCGGGCTGACAAAAGGCTCGAGAGTGTTGCAATTCGCATCTCACGCATTCGACGCATCAATTCAAGAGGTCATCACCACGCTGATTTATGGCGGCACTGTTTGCATTCCGTCCGAGTACGACTTGCGCAACAACCTCACACACAGCATTTTTGAAATGCAGGTTAACACAGCGTATCTCACGCCCTCGGTCGCCAGGCTGATTGATGCCAGCAGCGTGCCTAATCTGAAGACGCTCATGCTGGCAGGAGAGTCATCGACGTCTCGGGACTTCTTGAACTGGTTGAGCCCGGGGCAGACACTGCTGCATGGATATGGCCCGACAGAATGCGCTGTTCTTTGTTGCGTTGCACAAGTCGGGTTCGGTGCGACTGAAGAGGTAAATCCTGCCTGCATCGGAACAGCTACTGGTGGGACAAGCTGGATTGTCGACGCTGCCGATCACAATAAATTGCTTCCTGTAGGCGCCGTTGGTGAACTTCTCATCGAAGGACATATCCTTGCGCGGTCCTATCTCCACGATCAAGCAGTCACAGACAGGGTCTTCATTGAGACGCCGTCCTGGCTCAGCCGAGGGGTCAGCAGAGATGGCCGTATCTCTGGTCGGCGAGGCAGACTGTATAAGACAGGTGATCTTGTTTCGTACAACGCCGACGGCAGCCTCAACTACATTGGACGCAAAGACTCACAGATCAAGATTCGCGGCCAACGGGTCGAACTCACGGACGTGGAAGCATCAGTAAAACAGTCATTCCAACCAGCTCTACAAGTTGTGGCCGAGATCATACAACCCGCTGGTGAGGGAGCGAATCCAGCCTTGGCAGTATTCATGGTGCTTGGAAGTGATGGTCTGGGTTCGTTGCTGAACAAGACGCAAAATGGTGTACAGATTGGGGTTCTTTCTGTCCCGATGACGGTTGAGAATCAACTCGCCGAACTGGTGCCCAGCTACATGGTGCCATCTGTGTGGTTCATTGTCGATCAGCTGCCTCTGAATACCTCCGGCAAGACGAATCGCAAAAAGTTGCGTGATATTGGCTCATCCTTTTCGGCGTCAGACCTCGCTGCCCTGAGAAGAATTGAGGGCACGCAGAAACGAAATCCTTCGACAGAAGTTGAAAAATCACTATGTGTTACTATTGGAAGGGTTCTCAACGTCAGCGAAGTCGCCATTGGCCTTGATGACAATTTCTTTCACCTTGGCGGCGATTCCATCACGGCCATGCAGCTGTCTGCTGCAGCGCGGCAGAAAGGACTAAACATCTCGGTTGAGAAAATTACTCGTTTCAAGACAGTCAGCAGGATTCTTGAAGCATGCAACGCAGACATTCAGGATATCTCGCAAAAAACGGGTTACGGACGAGACCCGATGGACGACGAGGACGACAATCTGGACCAGGCTGTCGCTCTTTCGCCGATTCAGCAAATGTTCTTCCTCCATCAGCCAAACACTAACGTTTGCTTCGATCAGTTCTTCTACCTTCAACCCCGAGCACTCATCTCACATTCTGTGCTTGAGCTTGCTCTCAACAAAATTGTCACTACCCATCCGCTCCTGCGTGCCCGGTTCAGGAAGACCGACACTGGTGTCTGGGAACAATTCATCGAATCATCTCCGGCAAAAACATTACGATGTCTTTCTCGGACATGTTCCAACTACGAGCAAGTCGCATTATCTATTCAGCATCAACGTGCCGACCTGAACATTACCAGCGGTCCATTGGTGGCCGCTGTCTTGTATGACGTAGATGGTGAGCAAACGCTCTTCATCACAATCCATCATCTTGTTGTAGATCTTGTGTCTTGGCGCATCATTCTCGGTGATCTCGAGATGCTGCTATCATCAGATGCTGCAACAGAAGTGACGCTGGCGCCGCCGACAACTTCGTTCCGAAGCTGGTCGTCTTTACAAGCCCAGCATGCCGTTGAACTTGTGGCAGCCCGGGAACAAACAAAGGCCAATCCGCCACCACGAATCTCATACTGGACCGGCGATGGGTTGACAACCCACGTAAGCCGAGACGCTGATTCGATGACTCTGGCGTTCTCACTCGATGAATCCACCACGACAGCCATTCTAGGAGCTTGCAACGAATTCCTCGGTACGAAACCCGTTGAGCTGATGATATCGGCGCTACTTTTCTCCTTCGGTCAGACATTCAGGGACAGGCCGCTGCCGACGATTTTCAACGAAGGACATGGACGAGGCACATGGGACGAAACGTTGGACATGGATCTCTCAAGAACAGTTGGGTGGTTCACCACACTGTATCCAATCCATCTGCACAACAGCGTCACCAATAGCACAGGGAAGGACAGCGCACAACAGCATACCCTGCTCGACTTTGTCGCTAACACACACGAAGCGATGGCAGCCTCTTCCTCCCCTCAAAGTGGCGCGTCGTTCTTCACCTCGCAATTCGCCACGCCAGAATCGGCACGGTCCTTCGTAAAGGGCCAACTTCCCGCTGAAATTGTCTTCAACTACGGTGGCGTCTACCAGCAGCTCGAACGCGACGATTCTTTCTTTCAAATCGTCTCGCTGGACGCCATGGCTAGCAAGCACTGTGGCGTTGGTGGCGGCAGGGATGATTGCGGGAAGAGGTCGGGCATGCTGAATATCAGCCCTCTCTCAGCGGCCGAGGCGCATAGGTATGCACTGTTTGAGGTCATCGCGGGTGTTACAAAGGGAAGGCTTGGGATTTCCGTCATTTACAGTAGGCACTTGCTGCATGGGGTCAAGATTAAGGCGTGGTTTGCCGAGTTTGAGGCAGTGATGCGAAGGATTGTCAGGGAGTTGGGCAACGCAGGGTCTGTCTAGGGATCGTCGATGACCTGGCGTGAAGCTCTTAATTTGTTTTCTTTTCCAATCATAAGACTCTTTTACTCGATTATCGACCCGCAGTGTGTTCACTGTCGATGTTGTCATTTGGTGTGTGGAGCACATAGGTTCACGACAAATGACACAGTATAAGAGCGGAGCGTCTCGGCTTCAAACTACAAAGCAATGTTTCCGTTTTGGCAGCGCTTTGTGATCTTTCGCTATTTTTCGTCAGTATTTCTCAGCATTTGGTTCGTGGAGCATTGAGGCATTTGGAACGTTTGAGGCAGGGAATGGTGTGACGACGAGTGGAATTGTCGGGTTTCTGAGAAAGCGAGGCCTA